TCTCTATATTTAAACTTGACATCTCCAGAGTTGTCACTGTGCCATCCCGTTCCCAAAACCTTCTCTTCTGCCGACTGGACCTTTGCATGTAGCTGGAGAGATTCGCATGTAGTACAGTCGAGAAACTCTTCTGGCGCCATCAAACAAAAATGTCTCACTGACAAGCGAGAGGGACAGCAGCAAATCAGTTACCCTCGATAACTTTTCGAATGCAAGACAAGCATCCGCTGTCTTGAATTCCTTGACGTAATTCGCTGAAATGCCGATTTTCGCAAATCCTTGCTGTAACAGCGGTAAACAGGCAGCAACAGTTTAGTCAAAGATGTAGAAAGATTACTCGTGCAGACTCTTCACCGTTTACATAAGTAATATAACAGAGATCAGCTAAGTTTGCGTAAAACATTGAACTTCGCATAATGCTCACGATTTTAGAATCGACCAGTCGTTCGTTCTAATGTTGACACGTCAGTTGCTTCACTGGCCATGCTGCAAGATAGATGGAAATTGCGTGTCAAATAAATGTTTTACAACATCAAAATTCGTGATGTTGTCAATTTAAAAGGATCGCATGCAACCGCGCCGTCATGTTCGTATGCACCCGCGACCCGAAATGAAAAGCGTCATAAAAAGTTAGGTGAAACTTTACGTAACAGATTTTCATCAACGCTGTAAACCAAGTTCCGCCGAAAAGAATGTGGAATATCGCAAAGCTACATGAAACAGCATATGCAAAATGGTCTACTAAATTCGTGCATTGCTAATCATATCGAATGAAAGCATAAAACAATTTTTTGAACAACTGATTTATTGAACATGGCTTTATGTTAAATTATATATTAATTATTGTTGCGATTTATAGTGTATGCATCATTATTTCGGTTCGATGTACATGAGCTTGCATCAATCGAAACAGCTGTTCATGTGTTGCACTGAAGAACAATACATATACATGTTACGAGAACATCTCAACGTGTAACACATTAAGTGTTTGCATCAGTCCGTAAACAAGCAATAATTCAGTAGTAAAACTTGTCGACTGAAATATGGGAAAAATATCTATCCCAAGCAAGATTCACATACTAGACGAAAGAACTTTCTTTGCAACACGCTGCAGAGACTTATTTAACAAAGCTGTTTACGGCTGACACTAAAGTTAGTCAATATTTCGTCAAGTTCGCAATTAACAAGCACTACATTACATTCCATCGGGTTACTTGATTTTCTACGCTAACAGTCAGATAATGATTATCACTTTGAAAAAAAGAAACAGGAGACCGACCATACACAGAGATTACAGAGCTGTAGATACAAACGTAAAGGCACGCCTACATGTTACTATATATGAATGCCGATGTACAGAAGTTATGCGAAAGGGCATACAACCTAAAGAGCGAGGAGAACCGAGGAAAAATATTCATTTCAGAACCTAAAAACGACAATCTGCCATAACTTGCATACTCTGTGCAAACACTTGCTTGATTTCGACATTTTAAGTTGTAGATTTGGAGGTCAGATTTTTCGATGAAGAACAAGCAAAACCATCTGCAGCCCCATAACCAAGAATTTCTTCACATCTGAGTACAGCTTCAGAGTCACTTAAGAAAATACTGAAAAATCAAATAACATTTCAACATCATCTAATGTAACCAAGGAATCACCTCATTTAGCAAAAGCAGCGAATCTTGCCTATTATTTTTAAAGTACCGAGACTTCATTTTAAAATGTACAATGTACTATCGATATGGATACGTTTTTCATCAATGCATCATTAGGTAACATTGTTACATGAACTTGTGGCGTACAGACATATGTAGCAGTAAAATTATAAACTAATGTTCTGCGAAGTCACGACATGATGAGCATGGTGGAGGCAAAAAACCACAACACGCAATGAATACTGTGGTAAGAATTGAAATTTATGCTACAACAACAAAAACAAAATACCAATGATGAATCGGAAGAAAACAAAAAACGCAGCAACTCTTCAAAACAAAAATCTGAAAAAAAGTTTAATCAGATGCAATATTGTCAAAAGCCCTGCTGAACAGCTCGCTGTTTCCCAGAACTTTATAAAATATGGTGATAATTTCGTTCTGCGAATCGCTGAGCTTCACTTTTGAAGTACTCCGGAACTCGCAGTCTTCACCGACTACCGAACACCTCTTTTCCCTCAACTCAGCAGCGAGCTTCTTCATGTCGTTAGGCTTGCAGAGGAACTAAAAACAACAGGTCGAAAAAATTGATGATGTTGATTATCTGCAAAATCAAACAAAATAATTGTTTAGACCACTGATTTTGCTATTATGTCGACCGTTAAATCGCGGAAATTATTTCCTTGATAAGGTGGCATTGTTTCAGCTAAGCTCATTCTAGAAAATCACTGAAGATGTATCACTGCTATGAAAACAGTCAGTTTGAGATTAACATTGACTTTAAATGCAAAATGACAGGAGAAATGAAGGTTTACTTAAAAAACGATTTTGCACAATCGGGTCGGTAGCTCTGTACGCGGTCACCTCGTTCTCCCTACATTCATAAAGGCCCTTCTGTGAAAGACATTGTATTCAAATGATTAAAACTGGCAAAATATCGTTACCACTCCGAATATGACGCTACTTTGGAGCCAGGTCAAACCGAAAAGAAATTCTTCATCAGTAGGCTATGCAATAGAATTTGAATAGGAGAGGATAACTGAAAATTTCTAATAGCTCCGTGAATGGGGGCAGCTACAGCACTTTTAAATAAAATTCATGGTGCGGTGGCAATTCCCGTTATGATATCATCAACATGAATAAAAGTGACGCCGAAGGTAGTATCTCTAGGGAGTGACGCCTACGACGTATAGCTGCCTGCTTCCTTCTCAAATTGCGCTATTCATTACATTGACAATGAAGCATCATAAGAAAGTGATAAGATCTTTCGACTGAAAATGCAATGCTTTACCTGACTAGCGTGTAATTAGCAAACTATGCTGTGTTCGTCAATACCTCAAAGACGGAGGTTCCATTCTCATCATGAGTTTCGTTCACTTCTTCCGCGGATACCTCCAATGCGAGGTGGATTGCACTTTCCATGTCCAGCGGATTTATGGCAGACGAGGAATCAGTTGCAGTTCCAGCCTTGGTCTTAGAATCAGTGCTTTTCAGCTCGCTAACGCCGCTCACTGTTACGACACCAACCTCTTCAAAAAACCTCCGTATACCGAGGTCAGCGAAGTTGAATCTAAAATCAAGTCTTTAAACGGACTTAAATAAAGACGTACGACATAACACGACACTAAGACAAAGAAACTTAAGAAAAATTGTTAGCAATGTGTCTTAACAACAAACGTTAATTTCTTTACTAGCGGCCACGTGAAAGTCGCCAAAGGATCGAGCTTCTAATGCAACTGAAAGGGGCATTTGCATTTTCTGTAAGAGACGAATGTTCTGAAAAGAGTACGCCAATGAACCAAGGATGGACAGACATTGACAATCTCGATCATGCAATTCATGGTAATCCGCTGACTCAAACAAGCAAACAATCATAAATCCGAATATCAATAGGCGACTTTTCATGTTCACATGATACATATGATCTCAGACCTGTAACATGCTAATGATACACAATACAGTCGTGTCATATGCATCTATAAAGCATTAACCGTCAAAGTAGACGACAGATCTTCATGCAGTTTATGAGACATCACTATTTAGTACTCGTACGATTCAATAATCAATGAGTGGAACATGTTTTTCTTTGAATGAGAACATGTAGAGGCGGCATTACAGCGCATAAATCATTGCTTCCTGATCGTAAAATGCCATTTATTCATGTACCTTAGAACAAAGATAGACTTACCGCCCAGTCAGGATTCAAACTCATGGTTTCTTGACTATTAATGAACATTTTGAATAATGTGTTACCCTGACATGAACATAATAACTGTGAAACTGAAAGGACGAAACACTATATTCTTTATTCACTTGGATAACGTTACCAAATCGTTCACCGTCAACAGCATTCATATCTTTTCATTAATTTAAGTGTCTGGCTTATACTCTTGTGCATACGTGCGAGAGGGAGTTTTGGCTGCACGGGAAATCGAGAAAATAGACAAACTCAAATACCGTTCGCCAATTGTCTGGCGCAGAGGACTTGGTACGTCTTTATTCAAGACGATAATCTTGTCCGACTAGCAGATCAGAACGCCTCACAAGATGAAGTGATAATTTCCGGTAGCTGCTGAATAGCTCTCTTCCAGACTCGTCGTTTTCTACCAGCAACTGTGTATATGATGTACAGATTTGTTCAGATCCACCCAAAAAATTAAAAATTCATAGCATTGCAATACAACTCCGCCATGGCCGGTCCCAAGCCCGGATGAGAAAGGAGGAGGGTTGGAGAACGTGGCAAGTCTCCG